GAGGGATTTTCCCATGACCCCAAATGTTTCCTCTGGCTGCTGCACTCTTCCTCACCTGCCCCATTCCTTTGTCTACGGGGCTGGCAGGCTCAGTTGTCCTCAACCCTGGTGTCTTAGTTGTCTAGTGCTGTTATAACAAATATCACAAGTGGGTGGCTTTAAAGAACGTAAATTTATTTTCTGACAGTCTGGAGGCTAAAATTCCAAATCAGGGTCTCAGCCATGTTGATTCCTTCCTTGTAAATAGCCCTGGACATTCCTTGGTTCCTTGGCTTGTAGACTATTTTCACATGCTCCGCCACCTCCCCCATGTGTGACTCTCTGTGTGTCTAATCTGTTCTTTTTACTATTCAGAAGTGATTTGATTTAGAACCCACCCTACTTGGGTATAATCTGATTAACATAACAAAGAAAACCCTATTTCCAGACAGAATTACATGTGGATTTAATCCATAACACTGGCTGCACACTGGACTAACCTAGGGTAGCATTTCCCAGGGATGGCCACACCTGATATCTCCCATCCCACAAGCTTGGCCAATAGAATATAATAGAAGTAACGGGGAATGACTTCCAAGGCAAGGTCATAAAACCACCACCACTTCCACTTTGGTCTCTGGAATTGCTAGTTCTGAGGGAAGCCGGCTGCCATGTCATGAGGATGCTCAAGCAGGTCTGTGGAGAAGCCCAGGTGCAGATGAACTGAAGCTCCCAGCCTATATCCGCACAAGCTTGCCAGCCATATGAGTGAACTACCCTGTCAAGCCTTCAGATGAGACTGCATGTAAGGCCCTGAGCAAGAACTGCCAAGCTAAGCCCTTTCTGAATTCTTGTCCAACAGAAATGATGTGAGAGAGAAAAACGATTGTTGTTGTATTAAGTCACTAAATTTTGTGATGATTCATTATGCAGCATTAGATAACGCCTAGGGACTTTTACGGAAACCCTGGTGGCATAGTGCTTAAGTGCTGTGGCCGTTAACCAAAAGGTCGGCAGTTCAAATCTACCATGCACTCCTCGGAAACTCTATGGGGGCAGTTCTACTCTGTCCTATAGGGTCGCTATGAGTCAGAATTGACTTGACAGCAACGGGGTTTAGGGACTTTTGCAAATTCCAGTGCTCAGGCTGCACCTCAGACCCATTACATCTGTATCTCTGGGGGTAGGGCCCAGGCAACAGGACACTCATGTGCCACCAAGGCTGAGACCCACTGGGAGAGCTCCTGCTCAGCTTGCAGCTTCAGCTCAGGCAGCCTTCACAGACCCTCAGCCAGGTTAGGTGTCTCTCCTCTGGGCTCCCACAGCCCCCTGTGCTGACCCAGCCTGTGCCTGTTGGCAAGCCATGCTTAATGAACATTTTGTGTCTGTCTCCCCCACTAGAATGTGGGCTCCATGAGAACAGAGGTTTCTGGTGAGTCCTTCCAGAGAAGTTCAGATGTAAGCAAACACATATAGAGAGAACACCCTTTAAATTAAATGAAACAAGATAAAATACAGCCACAGGGTACACAGGCGACAGAGCGCTGACATCTGAGGCTGATTTCATCTCAGTTTCGAGCTGAGTGGAGAAAAAACTGCCAAGGTCAGGGTTCTGGAGGGGACAAATCCCACACACTGAAGGAGCCATCGGCCTGTCAGCAGGGCAGATGTTATTGTTGCTCAACTCGTGCTGGGTCAGGATAAGACCATGAAGATCGCTGGCTCCCTCTGATCTGGGTGCAGTTAATGACAGTTTGTCCTTATTCTTAGTCCTCCATCCCAGACTGGAGGGGGCCAAGGACTGGGACGCTGCTATCACCCTGAATTGGCACCAAGTGCTTAGAATATCCTCAAAGGAAACATCAATATACTGTTGGCATGTGAAGATGCCCAGAGTTCTAGAACCCAATATGCCCAAATTATCTTTTTTCATATGGCATGTTTTGGGGTCCAGGGGAAATTCCTTCTGCTGTGGTTTGCTTTACTTTCTTAATCTGGGGAATAAGCCTCAGGTGTTTTTGTTTATTTTGCTTTGTCATCAGCTGGAAGGCATGCAGGACAGAGGAAAGCTTTGAAGATGCAAGGGTCAGCACGGCCTTTATCCAAGCATCTCAGTATATCCCAACACCTGATTACGGTTGTACAACATCTCAGAGAAGAATCCGACCACAATACCATTGTTGTCATTCCCGTTTTAATAACAGGGAAGTCAAGGGCTGGGAGGGACCCTAGCAAGGTACTCACAGGGTCATATGCATTTGTAACATTTACCAAAGTAAGATATTTTAACCTCACTCTGTTAAAGCCACCATCTCTTTCCACTCCAACTTCTCTTTGTGTCAGATGATGTTGGGGTGGGTTTGAGCATTTTGGGGTTCTGGCTAAGGGGACCTTGAGTTGGGGACACATTTAGTTTGGGTTTAATGGGATATGTTTATGTTGTTTCCAGTAATTTTTTTTTTTTTGTGAATAGTTTAGTTAGGAGCCCTGGTGGCACATGGTTAAGAGCTCGGCTACTAACCAAAAGGTCGACCTTGGAAACCCTAGGGGGCAGTTCTTCTCTGTCCTGTAGAGTCACTGCGAGTTGGAATTGACTCGATGGCAACACGTTTGTTTTTTTGGAGGTTTTAAAAAATTATTTCTAACTGACCTGGTATAGGAGCCCTGGTAGAGCAGTGGTTAAGAGCTGTGGCTGCTAATCAAAAGGCTGGCAGTTTGAATCCACCAGCCGTTCCTTGGAAACCCTGTGGGGCAGTTCTACTCAGTCCTATAGGGTCGCTATGAGTTGGAATCAATCCGAAGGCAACGGGTTTGGGTTTTTTTTGACCTGGTCTAAGAATGGCTTCCAGGAATACACTTACCCCTTGAACTATCCTGACTCAATTGGTGTTGTGACGTGATGGTGCAGGGTTAGAGGTCATATTTCAATATGAATGGCCTTACATCACCCAACACCAGAAGTATCTGAGTACTAGAGAAGAAGTTTGAAATTTACGTACCTGTGGTGCCAGAAGCTAGTTTGTGGAAAGTATTACATAGGTATGTCAAATAGGTAATTAGTAAAGAACAATGTTATTTTTCTGGGTTTTGTAATGTTTGTGGGATTTGTCAAGTTTTAAAATCTTGTCATTTGTGATAGTTTCTTTTATCTTTCTAACCAACTATTGACTTTAATACCTAATTTTATATTCTTTGCTTTAAAGAATCCTCCTTAAATTTTATAAAATTTCAGGCTGCACAAAGCCTGGACCTGCTCGTGCTCAGCTTTCTCTTGTGTCTTCCAGGATCACAGGACCAGCCTAGCCTTCCCTCACTGCTGCTGCCACTGCCAATGAGTTCTTGCATATTTACAAAGGAAGGTAACAGAGTGGTGCAGGTCACTGGCTCTGGATCCAGACAAAGCTGAAGTTTCTCACCTATAAAATGGGAACAGTGATAGGATCTCTTTCCTCAGATTACAATGAAGTCAAGGGAGATAATCTGTGTAAAGCCTCAAGCACAATGTAGCAGAGGGTACAGTTCGTCCTAGGTTTGATATTTAGCTGGTGCTCTGATAAAGACTCCTTGTTTATGACAGTTTCTGTTCTGATTCAATTGGTGCCCAAGCCAGAGTTCAAAATCATTGTTAGCTACTGACATATATTAATGCTCCCTTCTACTCTCTGCCCCTCAAGGGTTGTATACTTAAGTGCTCAATCATTGACAAGGCAATGAAAGAATGAAAGACAGCAGCCAGAATAGAAAACAGAGGCAGGCTCCAAACTGAGCAATGCCCTAGACCCAAACAGTTACTCACAGTTAAAAAATTAACCTTGAGGAGCCCTTACTTTATTCTAACCTCCTTTAAAAAAAAAAAAAAAGTTTTCTTTTTCTTGACATTTTTAAGTATTGAGAATTTGGAAATTCCACAAAAGCACGAAGAAGAAATTAACTGCTGTTACTAAAAACAAAACAAACAAACCAAACTCGTTGCTATGGAGTCGATTCCGACTCATAATAGATGATAATATACCTATATACATGTGGCATCACGATTATGTACTTAATGTATATCTATGCTGTACAAACTGCTTTGAAACATATTTTAAATTTAATGCAATCTTATCATTTCTCCTGTATCCTGAAGTGTCTTTTAACTATACCATTTTTAATGAATGCATAATATTCTTCTTCAAAAAATCGGGATAATTAAAGGCACCTGTTTGATCTCAGAAGGTTATCGCGAGCACTGACAGTTATATCATGTCAAGCTGCCTGGCATGTAAAAAGCTCAGTAAAAATCCAAAAAACCTCGTTGCCGTCGAATCGATTCCGACTCAGAGAGACCCTGTAGGAGAAAGTAGAACTGCCCCATACGGTTTCCAAGGAGAGGCTTGTGGATTTGAGCTGCTGACCTTTTGGTTAGCGTCCAAACGCTTAACCACTGTGCCACCAGGATGGACTTATATAATCAACCCCTTTCCGCTGGTCATTTAATTTTTTTCTCTGTTTTGCTATGGGGAATAACGCTGGACTATACTAATCTTTGCTCATATTTTGATCATTTTTTTTAGGACAAATTTCGGGACTGCAGTGTATGCCATTTTAAAACCAAGCCACTCATCGTTGTGCAGCTAGGGGAACAGAGAGGAAGTGACTTGCCCGGGGTCACATGGCAAGTTAGCTGCAAAGTAGGGACTAGTAACAGTCCAGAGGCCCCAACTGGTGCCTCTTTCAGGTGGGGACCCAGAGGAAGTCCCGTCTGGGAGACGAGGAGAGAAGAAGAAAAAGAACTAAGCGCCCGGACGACAGCAGCCGCCGGAAGAAAGTGCGACCGACAGGGAAGGGGCAGAGCCGCCGAGTAGCTGCGCCTAGTTCAAGAGGTCGAAGCTAAGTCGTCGCTTGGCAACCCGGGCGGCGCGGAGTTCGAACGGAAGCAGGAGACCAATCAGGATGTCCGGGACGAACCATTCCGGCCGAGGGGTGTGTGTGTGTGTTTGTGTGTGCGGCGAGCTCACTTCCCTTTCCTCGGATCTCCGGACCTTCGCTCCAGCGGGGGCCTTCGGAAAATCAAGGCATCTCCACTCGGGTGGAAAAGGCAGCTCGAAGAGGCCCTCGGGGTTGGGGCCTCCCGGGCCGCGTTGGGAGCGGCCACTCCCAGCCCGGGTCCGAGCTGTCAGCCTTTCCGAGACCTGCGGTAGAGGAACGACGACTCGCGTAGCGCGGATTCCAGGTGAGAGTACGGGTAGTCCCGGGCGAGAGCCCGGGTCTGGCGGGGGTGGGTGGGGTCGCGGTTCTCTCAGCGCCTGCTGTTTTCGTCCTCACTGCGTCGTATCTGCGAGAAGGTGGTGTTACCCCATTTCACAGATGAGGACGCTGAGGCTTAAGAGAGTCAGGTGGCCCAGCCCGGAGATGTATGGCAGAGAATCCAGTTCCGGTCTTTCGGCTCCACGTCGCAGCCTAGATGTGCCTAGAAACGCCCAGACGCAACTGGTGGTCACTTTCTTAGCCTCTTAGGGGTAAGGTCCGTAGACACCTGGCTGGATCACCTCCTTCTCGCACTCCCCCACCCCACCCCGCGTCGTTGGGTCTGTCTTCCCTTCACCAGAACGCCATGGGTTGGACTAAGTGCTCATTTGGGGATCTTCTGCCTACATTCTTTCTTACAACAAATATTTATTGACTTCACAGTTCTGCCCTCCCCCTTGCCTGTTTTGTTTATCTCAGTAGCGTTTGCCTCATCTGTTGTCCAATGTTTCACTTATTCATGAGTTTATTGTCTTCCCCTCTGGAAAGTGACACAGGGCAGGGGCTAGGGTGAGGCAAGTGGGGCACTCAACCTCCAGCGCAAAATTTAGGGGTGCCCAAAAGCTCAGTAATTAAGGTAGATAATATTTCAGTGAAACATTTTTAAAAATAAAAATTAATACAAAAAATCCATGATAAGCAAAATATCACTGTTGCAGGGTCAGTAACAGTGCTGTCCCAAGCAATATCAGAGCCAAACGGAAGAATTAGAAGCCTGTCTTAAGAATCACACAACTGATGTAAATAACCACATATCCAAAAGTAACATTTCAATGTGACAAGGAATACAATGAGGAGGGGGAGAGGGCTATGAGAGAGCTTAACTGGGGGCCCTGTGGTCAGGGAGGGCTCCTCTGAGGAAGTGATGTTTGAGCTGAGATCTGAAGGTCGGGAAGCTTTACTAGGAAAACAAGTGGTGGGTGGGTGAGAAAATTCCATGCAGAGGGAGCAACAAGGATAAAAGTCCTGAGGTGGGAACAAGCCTGCAGAGGGTGGAGCTGTGGCGGGGAAGTAGAGGAGTGTGGTCTCCAGGGCAGGCAAGAGCTCTGTCCCTGGCATTTGGGCCCTTTGAGGCCAAGTGCTCAAGAGAAAACAGACACACTGGGAGGCAGAGACCTCGGTTCCTGTGTGACCTCAGACATCTCTGTAGCCCTCTCTGGGCCTTAGTTTCCCCATCTGTTCAAGGTCCCATCACCTGAGTGCTTCTAGGTTTAGTGGTGGGCGCTGAAAAAAAATGTTTCCAGGGTGGCAGTGATGGGAGGGGACAAGGGGAAGACTGAACCAGGTTGGGCTGGCTGCGTCCCTCTTCTCTCTGGACCTTGGTGCTTCATCTGGGAAAGGTGGAGGGTGAAATCAGTGTGAGGGGCTGCTAGCACCACTGCCAATGACACTGACCAGCAGCTACCCTGGGCTGGGAACAGGCTGTTGATGTTACCCTTGCTGGCTAGGGGCCCTGTCCCCCACCCCCCACCCCCAATCTCATTCTTGGAGAGTGGAAGGGTTAGCCCGCTGAGCAGTCATTCCAAGAGAGAAATAATATCAACAACTAAAGCTAACATAAATTTATGAATGTATGGATGCATATATTTATTATTTTTTATTGTGGTAAAAAATATATATCTAAACATTTGCCATTTTAATCATTTTTACAATTCAGTACAATTCAGTGACATTACGTTCCGCATGTTGTATAACCATCACCACTATCCATTTCCAATTTTTGTCATCATCCTTAGCAGAAACTCAGTACCCCTTAAGCAATAACTCCATTTTCCCCTCCCACCTGCCCCTGGTAACCACTAATAAAGTTTTGTCTCTATGCATTTGCCTATTCTAGATATTTTATATAAGTGGGATCATACAATATTTGTCCTTCTGTGTCTGACTTATTTCACTCATCATAACATTTTCAAGGTTCATGTTCTGGCATATATCAGGACTTCATTTCTCTTTATGGCTGAATAATATTGCATTGTATGTATATATAACATTTTTTTATCCATTCATCTGTTGATGGACACTTGGGTTGTTTCTACCTTTTGGCTGTTGTGAATAATGCTACAATGAACCTTGGTATACAAGCATCTGTTTGAGTCCCTGCTTTCAGTTCTTTGGCTATACACCTAGGAGTGGAATTGCTGGGTCATATGGTAATTCTGTGTTTAACTTTGAGGAACTGCCAAATTTTTCCACAGCAGCTATAGCATTTGACAATCCCACCAGCAATGGATGAGGGTTCCAATTTTACCACACCCTCACCAACACGTGTTGTTTTCTGTTAATAACCATCCTAGTGAGGGTGAAATCATAGCTCATTGTGGTCTTCTTTAATTTCTTTCAGTAATGTTTTATAGTTTTCTCTGTACTAATCTTTCACCCTCCTGGTTTAATCTATTCCTAGGTATTTTATTCTTTTAGATGCTATTGTAAATGGAATTGCTTTCTTAATTTCCTTTTCAGATTGCTCATTGTGGATGTATAGAAACCCCACTGATTTTTGTATGCTGACCTAGTACCCTGCAACTTTGCTGAATTCACTCATTAGCTCTAGTAGCTTTCTTTAAGGAGCTCGGGTGGCACAGTGGTTAAAGCAGTTGGCTAACCAAAAGGTCGGCAGTATGAACCCACCAGCTGCTTCTTGGGAGAAATACGTGGCAGTCTGCTTCTGTAAAGATTTACAGCCTTGGAAACCCTGTAGGGTCGCTGTGAGTTGGAACTGATTCGATGGCAGTGGGTTCCCGTAGCTTTCTTGTGAGTTCTTTGGGATCTTGTTTACTTATTTATTTAAATGTTGTATAACTATCACCACTATTTATTTCCAAAGCTTTTTTATCACCCTAAACAGAAACTCTGTACCCATTACACACTAACTCCCCATACCGCCTTCTTCCCAGTCCCTGGTAATCTCTACTTTCTGACTCTGTGCATTTGCCTATTCTAAACATTTCAGATAAGTGGGATCATACAATATTTGTCATTTTGTGTCTGGCTTATTTTCAAGCTTCTTACATGTCATAGCATGCATCAGAACTTTATTTCTCTTTATGGCTGAATAATATTCCATTGTATATGTTTACCACATTTTGTTTATCCATTCATCTGTTGATGGACACTTGAGTGGTTTCCATCTTTTGGTTGTTGTGAATAATGCTACAATGAACAAGTATCAGTTTGAATCCCTGCTTTCAGGTCTCTTGGGTATACACCTAGGAGTGGAATTGCTGGGTCATAAGGTAATTCTAATTTAATTTTTGATAAAGCTAACATTTATTGAACATTTTATGCATGTTATTCTAGTGGGAGGTCAACTTGTATGGCCTCCATGGAGTGTAGTTCCACCATCTCTGTCACAGTTAACAAGTATTGTCCCCTGATTCAGCTGTCTCATTTCAGGTATTTCTTCTTGGCAAAATGACATAGGTGCAGGGACACTGCAGCATGATTTGTAATAGGAGGGACTGGACACACACTGGGTGGTGCAAATGGTTAACATGCTTGGCTACTAACTGGAAGGTTGGCCTTTTGAGTTCATCCAGAGACATCTCAGAAGAAAGGCCTGGTGATCGACTTCCAACGAATCAGCCACTGAAAATCCTATGGAGCACAGTTCTACTCTGACACACATGGGGTCACCATGAATGGGGGTTGCCATGAGTGGGAATCGCCATGAGCGAGAAATCAACTCAATGGCAAGTGGTACTGGTGGACACACACTAAGAATCCACTAGTAGGGGCTGATGGGAAGTGATTCTGTGCAGCTGTGAAAAAGGAGAGGCTGCTCTTTATGTACTGATGTGGCACTAAGAACAACACATTAATGAGTAAAAAGAGCAAGGAGGAAACCAGTACACACAGCCTGTTGCCATTTGTGTAAAAAAAGAGAAAATGTATATGTCCATACTTGCTTCTATTTGCCTAAAATTTCTCTGGAAGGACACACAACTATCTGGTCACAGTGGTAACTGCAGGGAGGGGAACTGAGTGGCTCCTAAGGACAAAGGCAAGAGAGAGGATTTTTTTAACTCTTCCTTTTTATAGCTTTTGAATTTTGAACCATGTGAATGTATCACCTGGTTGAAAATGATACATATGTGATCACTGTGTATTATATATTAATTGTGCAAACAACTGCCCTGTCTGTGATCTGTCACTGACTTGTTGTGTGACCTTGGGCCAGTGTTTTCACAGCTCTGGGCCAAGGTAAGAAGCCATGATGGTGAGCCCCCAAAGCTCAGCCTGGGGCCAAGGGCAATCAGGACAGAAGTGGGTTTGGCTGTGGGTCTGCCTCACCCCCACCATCCCCATCCTGTGTGCCAGGCCCTTCCTGAAAGCTTTGCATGTGGCATCTCCCTCACTCAGTCCCCACTGTAAGCCCCTTTGTCCTTGTTTTCAGAGGTGCAAACCGAGGTCCAGAGGATCAAGCTGGTAGAGGTGGGCAGCTGGTGGGCCAGGCAGGAGGTTGCTGCCCTCGGGGTCCACCCTCATACCCCTCCCGCAGCCTGCTCACCTCTGCCTTCCCTGAGGTTTGTACAAAGCACCCTGGGCAAGGCTGACTCCCGGGCAGGCCAGAGCAGGAGTGTCTCGGGGGGACTCCAGAAATAGTGTGGGGCTGGCACGGCTCTGAAGGGGCCCAGCTGGGTGTCTGTGACCCAGACAGCTGGGCTGAAATCGAGCTGGGCTGCCAGACCGGCTGGCCCCCTCCTGCTGCCTGGAGCCTCTGTGATCCTCCAGCGCAGGCGACGGACTCCATCTCCCACCAAATCTGGGCCAGGCCTCCACTGAAGGGAAAGAGAGAAGCAGGTGGATGGAAGAGGAAGAGGCGGCAAGAATGTCATGTAAATTTATAAATATCAGAAAACACCCCTGCCCAACAATGGATAAACATCACAACACCTCTTGAGCATTTACTATGTACCAAGCACTTTA